TTCACACTCATTAGGACAGCTACTGTATTTAAAAAAAAAAAAAAAAGTAAGCAAAAGAAAAAAAAGAACAGAGAAAAGAGAGACTTATTCTGGTTGTTGCTAATAATGTTAACCTGCTATTTATATTCCAGTGCCCTTCGCATGGCGAAGCAGGGGGGAAAAGTTATTTTTTTCTTAAAGTACAAAGAGACGGGGGAACTTTTGTAGAGGACTTTTCAAAAGCTATTTTCCATTCTTCGGAAAGTGTTTTGGTTTTCCATGGACCTCGAAGAAGCTATAGAGTTCAATGTTATTTTACAGTTATTGTAAATATAGAGAACAAATGGAATGACTAATCATTGTAAATTAAGAGTATCTGCTATTTATTCTTTATAATATCCCGTGTAGTAAATGAGAAAGAAGTGCAGAGCAGGATTAAAGAAAACCACTAAAACCGACTACGTTCCACACTGATTTTCTGTGTTGATGATTGATGGGGGGTGGGAGGGCGTGGGAGGGGGGGTAGTGGATGCTGCTCTGCCTCGTATCCCGTTAGGGAAGGGGCTCGTCCCCTCGGACTCCCCTCCTGTGGTATGACGGAGGTGACTGTTATGTTTTTTGAGGGCGGGCGGGGGGCGATATTCTCTAACCCCTCACTTAAACATCACGTGGCCTCCGCCCAGTCTCCTAGCTTTTCCCCCTGTGTCACCAAAGCTCGGGCCTGTAGTGACCTCGACACCCAGCCGGCCCCCTGGTGCTGACCCCAGGCTGGGCCGAGGGGCGGGGGGAGGGTGGGCGGCCGCTTTGTCCTGCCTGACAGGCCCTTCACAATGGGGACACGTGTCTTTCACACCTACCCTGGGGGCGGAGTGCCGCTGAAACTTGACCCCCGAGGAATGGGGAGGGGGGCAGATCAGAGCGCGCCCACCCAGATCCCGCCACCCCTCCCGCCTCGTACCCCCCACCTCAATATCCAGCCCGTGTTAACCCTTTGCATGCCCGGAAGCTACGGCGGTGGGAGCTGAGACAATCCCTTGGAATCAACAAGGCTCACAGCCTCTGGGATCTTGCAGGTCCGAGCCCCGAAATCCCAGGCCCTCGGCCGGAGGTGCTGGGGATATCGGGGAGATTTGACACCGGCCTCCCCTCTCTCGGGGCACCTAAGGAAGACTGAGGGCCACGGTTTCGAAGGAGTCCGAATCCTGGAGAAAATCACCACCTCTAGGATCTACTTTTGGGAAGAAGGTATACCCGCGCTCTGGGCACTTTCTACACTTGAGGGGTGGGGAGGAGGGAGAAATCGGAATCGGAATCTTTGCGCTTTCTTTAGGATTAGATAAGGGCAGAAGGCACGTAACCCCTTAAAGCGACGTGCAAAACATCACTCCCACCCCACCCCTTAAAAAACCAATTCCTTGGGACCGACGCCTGACTCTCGATTGCGTCCCTCCGCCTCAGTCCCCAGTGGCGCCCGTCCGCTCAGCTCCACGTGGGCCAGCTTCCTGACACTGCTCAGCGCTCCCTTTATTTATCTTGGACTCCAAAGTCGCTCTCCTTTGCTCCCTCTCCACCTCCCTGCCACCTCCCCGCGCCTCCCTCCCGGCGTTCCTCCCACCCCACCCCCTCACCCCCTAACCCCCCAAGTCCGGAGTCCCAGCGAATCTATGCTAATTATTTCAAACCTGCGCCGGGTCCCCGCGCGGTCTCAATGCCCCCAGCCCCGCCCGCCCTGTCCCTCCAGCCGGGCGCTTTCTTCCCTCCCGACGCAGCCTCGATGGCTCCTCATTTCAATAGCCTGGCCCCGGAGCCGAGCCCCCTCCCCGGCGCTGCCTCCGTCAGCCGTGGGACAGACGTTAGGGTATTCATTAACTGAGAGCCAAGGAATAACGGCATTATTCCCCCCAGAGAGGGCACCCTGCCCCCGCGACTATCTGAGGCTTCATTGTAAAAGGATTAAAAGTTAAAGACCTCCATCTTATGATTCTTTCATTTAATCTTCCTGGCGCCTGGGAGACATGCTCGATGGATGATGGCTTTTAAAATATTCCTAATGTCGACTACCTTAAGACTCCAAGCCGGGCAAACAAACGTAATTTATTTCCAGAAGAAAGGGGATATTGAGATGTTTAAGTTTATGAACTGCCGTCCCCATGTATATTTGTTAAGTTCTGACAAATACCCAAATAACGTTAAAATCAGCCATTCATCACTTATGAATTTATGCAAAACTTTCTGTGCCCCGGGCCAATATTTTTTTAGACAGAGTTTCATTTGCGAGGGGCGGAGGTGGTGGGGAGTGGGGAAGAGGAGGGGGCTTTGGTGGGGCGGGGGGGACCGAAAGCAAGAATTTTCATGCCTGGTAAACACGCGAATTATGCGAAGAGAGTTATTCCCAGCTGGGCGGGCAGCCAAAACTCGGAGAGCGCGCCGAGGCCAGCGCCCCCACCCCCACGTTGGCAATGTCATTGGATTACAATGCGAGGTCTTCCCCTCCGCGACGCCCCCTCCTCCCTCCGCGGGCCCGCCCGCCCGCGCTCCTCCTCCCCACCCCTGCCCACTTGGAAAACCCGCCCGCAGCCGGCGAGCTTCTCGGCTTTCAGAGCGGGAGCCGGTGTGAGCTAGGAGGACGCGGGCTGCAGACGTGACCGGCGACAGACAGACCACCGGATGCACAGACCCAGAGAGCAGGCCCGAAGCCGCTGCGGGTGCGGGAGAGGACCCAGCAGGACCCAGGCAGTGCCAGAAGCCAAGGAAGAAGTGCTGGTCCTGGAGCATTGCCTAATGCACAGCCGGTTACCTCTCCATTATTATTAATGCCGATAATACTAATAATAGCATCAACGCAGAAAGGAGGAGAGGGCTCTGGGTATAGAGTGGAGAAAACTGTCCTCTTCGGTCACCCAGTGCCTATCTCCTGTAAGGAGGAAAATTGATCCAGGTGACTTCTGCGGTTCTCACACCTGTGTCTATGAATTTATGCAGCAGCTGGGAGAGAGCCATGCCTCCCCAGAGTGGAGATTTATAACTATTAGAGATACATGCACGTCAGCTTTTTCAAATCCTGTAAGAGAATGGCAAGGTTTCCACCAACCTATCCCTCCCACTATGATTTCGAGAATTCACTCATCAACCCCCTATTTGCAAGTCTTCCCTTTATTCCTTCCTTCCACTCTTTCAATGCTACACACACACACACACACACACACACACACACACACTGCACACAAGAGCAAACTGAGGACCAATGACCAAACTGAGAGGGAAAGCCAGCCCTCTCAATGGAGGGTCCTCTGGCCCCCAGAGTCTGGGAACCTGATCTAGTTCCCTGTTGAGATGGAGAAGTCCAGGGGTCCATTATCAGTGTTGCTTCTGAGACTCCCTGGGAAAGGGGGTTGAAGTTTGGTAGCAGCTGCAAGAAGAAGCTGGCTGGGCTGTGTATTAAGAGCTCTTAGCTGTGCTGGATGGGGACCACAGGGGGAGGGCCCAGCCCATATTGGTATTTTGAAGGGGGTGATTCATCCTTTTTCTTTAATGCTCTTGGAATGTCAGAGCTGGTGGGGAGCTTAGATGCCAATGCCCACTGCTCAATTTACAGATGAGAAGACTGAGACCTCAGCAGCCACTTGATGATCACACAGATGAATACAGTTGAGATTGGCTACGTGGTGCCTCTCTAGTGAGCCTCATCATGCCTCTCTTTTTCTTTGTTCCCTTTTTCCTTTGCTCTTTTTTTAATTGATGGGAGAGAGTATTCCCTAAAGTTGACAAAGTAACAACTGATCATCAGCAAGTGGATCAACCCTTCTGTTGTACCTGTTTAGCAGATGTTTATTAATGGTTTGTGATGTGCCAAGCAGTGTGTTGGGCCTTTACACCCATCCTCATCTAAGGCCTCTAGTGTCCAAATAAGGAAACTGAAGCTCAGAGAGTTTAAGCATCTTCCCCAAATCCCCACAGTAAGTGACATGGTTACAGTTCAAAATCCAAGCTGACACCACCAAATAATCTTTGTGCTTCTTCCAAATAATCTTCCTTCCTTTAAGGACTCGAACACCGATCTTGGGAGACGAAATGCACAAGACACTGTGAGCTGGTAAGTCTCAAGTCAAGCTCTGCAGGGGTTCATGCCTGGTAAGCCACACACAAAAAAAAATTGCACACCCTGTTATGTGCCAGCACCTCCCACTTCCTCCCCCCTCACCCCCACAAGAAAGTTACAATGCAATACAGAAGATAAGAAATGAAGAACTGGTGGGTGGGTGCAGTGGCTCACACCCGCAATGTCAACATTTCGGAGGCAGAGACAGGAGGATTTCTTGAGGCCAGAGTTCGAAATCAGCCTGGGCAACTTCATGCCTACAGAAAATTTATAAACTAGCCAGGCATGGTGGCACATGCCTGTAGTCCTAGCTTCTCAGGAGACTGAAGCGGGAGGGTCCCTTGAGCCCCAGAGTTCAAGACTGCACTGAGCTGTGACCTCACTGTTCTCCAGCCTGAGCAACAGAGTGAGGCCCTGTCTCTAAAAAAAAATTTTTTTAAAGAACTAGGTAAGAGATCAAAGAGGAGGTAAAGCATCAAATAAACCTGGGCCGGAAAAAGGAGGGCTGACAGCCAGAGAAGGCATTTGACTGAAGTCTCAAAGAACAGACTGAATGTCGACCCACTGAAGTGAGGATGGAAGAGGAGGAGTGAGGATGGAGAAAGCAGTATTTGTTAATATCAGTGAAGACATGGTGCTGGAAAAGTATGTGTGTTTGGGAAATAGCTCAAACAAACTTTAGCATAGCATGGATCCATGCTGAGAAGAGCAAGCAATAAGAT